CCTCGGCGGTTTCCGTTGTGGAAGCCGGTCCTGGAACAGCGGTTACCACTCCGTCTACGGCAAAAAGTCGTCGTAGCACTCCGAGGCGACGAGGCGTCGAGGGCAGGCGTCGGACCGGGACGCCCAGACGCCGCTCCTCGAACCATCAGCATCATCGGTCAGTTCATGAAACGCCCAACCCCAAACAGTCTTATCCGCGCTGGGAACGTGCCGTGATGGCTGCGGCCGAAAAAACAAAGGATAAGGTACAGTGAGCATCGTCTTTTTTCCCTCATCCTGTTCAGTTTTGTTGTTATCACTAGTTTCTTCACCTGACTGCACTCCGCTCCATATCATACCCATCCTTACTTATTAAGCACCACCAACAGTTTGACCGTCGACTCCGGCAATGTTCACTATCTGCTCTACAGCGTGGTGGTACAGGGAGAGTGACTTAGGCACAGCTTAGTTTTAAGTGATGGTAGACTTGCGCCGCATCTAACGCACTCCTTTTTCCTTCACCCGCCTATGTCCGGTGTCAATACAGAATCAAAATGACCGGAGGCGGGATCGGTCGCAGGTGCCCAGAACCGCCAAGCCTGACTCATGTTCCATAGAGTGGGAGTGCCATAAAAGCCACGGGTAATCGGTGCTTGAGTCTGCACCTACGCCTGCCATCAACGCTCCCCATGTTCGGCATTTGTCGTGGAAGTGAACCGGAATAAAGCCTGTCGCGCTTAGATCCAGCCCCGGTAGTGGTCCAGGGCATCCACCATGCGGCCCGTTTAGAGGACACAAGCCACATGTCAGCAACACTTGGTATTCCCTGCCGGTCACCCATGTAAGCACTAACTGGGCACAACGTCGCTTAACTTCGATGATCGGACGAGAACCGATACTTTCTACTTGGTGTGGTCGCTGATAACAAGCACTACTACCCTCTTCATCCTCATCTCTCGTTCTGCTGTGGTTATTTTCCAATTATCTGTTTGCACAGTTGTCTCTACCGTCCTTGTTTGTTTTTTTAATCTGTTTCACAAAAGCTGGTAATTGTTGCCGAGTCACCTATAAAACCGGACTCTGTACTGGGCAGTCCACTGCGGCGCCTGCGTAGAGCCAGTTCCCTTCTCGATGCCTCGCGACTCTCCTCTTCCTTCCTATGCGGGGGTCTCCTCGGTGGTGGTGGTGGTGGCGGCGGCGGGGACTCCTCTCTGTCTGGTGAGGCCAGCACTTGCACCTCCATAGGCATGACGC